CACACACTGGCCCAGCTAACCAATCACAGCACACACTGGCCCAGCTAACCAATCACAGCACATTTTGTATTTCAGAAGGCCGGCCTTCATTTGATACAGGAACTAATCGAGCCGTTCATGCCAATGAAGGCTAATGAAGGAAGACACACACTCACACAAAAACAAATTCAGTATACAGTTTATTTAAAATAGGATATACTAAGTAGGCTTACAGGCAAGCAGGTGATTGTGATTGTAATAAAGGCAATTTTATACTTCACTGAACAGAAATGCACTGTTACGATGGCGCCGACGGTGATGGCTGCCTGCGTGGCATGCTCCGCAGTTGTTTTTATGTTTTTGTTAGTTTGTCCTGTCTTTAGTTATATCCCTGCAATCAGTTTCACCAGAGACGAATTGCTGGACATTCGGAAGTACACACCACCCGATATTTCACCGATTTTCGACTATTCGGATGTTTTGCTGGACATTGTTGTCGGGGGAGCAGCTGCGCTGATCAAGCGCTTCAGGACGCGCAGACGGGGGAAGCGAGCCGGCGCGCTCGTGAAGCTCAGACAGCGCGGATTCAGAACGCCGTTGCCAAGCATCCATCTGGCGAACCTCCGCTCTCTACCCAACAAAACGGACGAGCTCCTTCTGCTCTCCCGGACAAATAAGGATTTTTCAAACTCTGCTGCTCTGTGTTTCACGGAAACCTGGCTGAAAGACGCCATTCTGGACAGTGCGTTGAGTCTCCCGGGCTTTCAGATGTTCAGAGCAGATTGCGACGCAGAATCAATGGGGAAATCATGCGCCGGCAGGACATGCTTTTACATCAATGAGAGGTGGTGTACAGATGTAACTGTTATGTGCATAATTGTCCATTTTTCCTTTGAACAAAGTGACTGATCCTTATTTAGATAGTACAAATAATAAGTGTTTAATGCTTATTTTTTATTTATTTTATTTTTTTGGCTGGACATTTTTGGGGGGGCACAAGGAGAATCTAGGGGGGCATTGCCCCCCCTAGCCCCGGTCCTGCTTCAGGGTTTGTATAAGCTCTGGAAAGCTTTTTTTAGAGGATGGCCCTGTATGACATCATTAAGGCGCGGAATTCGTTCTATGGGCACTTCTCCAGGAAGAGAGCGCACACACACATCAACCAGAGCGAGAGCAAGAGCATGCTAGTGTTGGGTCGTTCTTAAACGATTCGTTCGTTTTGAACGAATCTTTAATGTGACTCGGGAAGAACGAGTCATCTCGGGGAGTGATTCGTTCAGTCGCGCATGCGCAACATCCTATAGGTTCTGTACTGGAATTAGTCAAGTAGTTCACCTGGTTCGAGTCTTCTGGTTTTTCCGAGTGGTTCGTTCATCACGTGACTATGGAAGCCCGTTTCCGCCACTAAATAAAAAAATATAATTCTGTAAGTCATAATAATGAGAAACTTTCTCGAAATAATGACTTAGTATCTCGTAATAATGAGAAACTTTCTCATAATAATGACTTAACCTAATCCAAAAAAAAAATAAATAAATAAAAAAGACTTACTCGGCGCCTGCGGAACGCAAGAGTGACAGCACGCTAGCGCCATCTGTTGGTCAAAGCCATGCAGGAACACCGCTAACATTGCTTTGTTCTGTAATCTAAAGTGTATCATGCTATAGTCTGTCATTAAATAACGATTTCAGATCAATTATCTGTATGTAGTCTTTTGTGTAATAGTTACTCTGCCAGATAGTTATGGCTTCAAACATTCCAGACCAATATTTCAGTTAAGAAATCCAGGCATTTTATGAAGAAATGAAAGCCATTACACATATAAACTTAATTTATAGATGTGTATTTCGATGATGTATTAGTCTTATTAGCTGTCCCTTTCATGCATCACATGCAATGTTAGCGGTGTTCCTGCATGGCTTTGACCAACAGATGGCGCTAGCGTGCTGTCTCGAGAAAGTTTCTCATTATTACGAGATACTAAGTCATTATTTCGAGAAAGTTTCTCATTATTACGAGATACTAAGTCATTATTTCGAGAAAGTTTCTCATTATTACGAGATACTAAGTCATTATTTCGAGAAAGTTTCTCATTATTACGAGAAACTAAGTCATTATTATGAGAAAATAAGTCATTATTTCGAGAAACTAAGTAATTATTACGAGAAAGTTTCTCATTATAACGAGATACTAAGTCATAATTTTGAGAAAGTTTCTCATTATTATGACTTACAGAATTCTATATTTTTATTTAGTGGCGGAAACGGGCTTCCATACATGACAGCCCCATAAGTTTTAACCAATGCAGTCTGAGCCGGAAAGATAATTGATTAGTTCATCTCGAGTCTTCGGGTTTTTCGAGTCGTTCGTTCATCACGTGACAGATCCATAAGCCCAAACCTGAAGACTTGTCAGATAAGAGGTGAGGTGAGCTAATCATAGACTGAAGCCTCAGGTAAACAATGAATTAATCTTTTCTGTTTCTTATAGCAGTTTTGTATTGTTTGTAGTGTGATCAACGTTTGCGTAAGTAGTAGACATATTAGGGAAGTAACACGTAACATTTTAATTATATTTTATTAAAATGAACAAAATGAACGAAATGACTCGAAAAAAGATTCGTTCATTTTGCTGAACGAGACTCAAAGGTCAGAGTCGGTAAAATGATCCGAACTTCCTATCACGCCCTTTCGGTTAAAAATGGTCTTCATTCGGTTTATGGAAGTTGTGGGGATGCGATTCTAGATCAAATATACAGTATATGGCTGGATCTGATTTTTAGCCATAGTTAATTTAAGTCAATAAAATTTTTGTTCCTGTTTTATTTATGTCCATGTCACAGCTTGCAGACCACCACTAAGCAAAAGCTTTGCATGCCCATAGACTGTGTGCATGCCTGTGACTCTTTAGCGCCGCACATCGCACACCTCCAGGAGCTCAACTATTTTCGGAGAAAAGTGGTACAGTACAGCTGTATCTGTCTTTTATAAATCTGATAAAACTAAAGTCTCTTAGGAGTAGGGATGTAACGATTAACTGCAAGCCGGTTGAAAATCGATTCAAATATGTGATGATTCAAATCGGTTGAGATGCTAAACAAATCGCGATTCTTTTAGGGGTAGGAGTTTATATGAATGTATGTATGAGGGGAACTTACTGTCTTTAGAAAAGTTTAGATGGTATTTTTTCTTTTCCTCTTGCCTCTGTATAATGCATATTAAAGTTCATAAGTGCAGCGCTGCTTTGTTTACAGCGGAAACCAGGAAACGCTTTAAGCGCCACCTGCTGGCAGAGAGTGAATCTGCGTCTCATTCAGCTCGTGTGATGTTGCTGTTTCATGCAGATATTTTTATGTATAGTTTCACAAAACTGAAGTCAAACCATTCTGTTTTTGCTACTCCCTCTGGTGTTCAAACATTTTGTTGCTCAAAGACATGGAAAAGCTCTGCTTGTTATATCATGATAAATTTTTGCATATCCACAATGTTAATTATCATGGTTTCTCTTTTTTAAATTATGATATATTATGGCACTATGTATTGTTACAGCTCTGTTTTTTTTTAACACTTTACATTTCAGTAAATCAAGATAATGAGACAAAGGGGAAGATGTGTTTTTAATGTAATAATCCACCACAATATTGTGTCTACTAATACTTTTCTCAGCAGCATTCTCAGATAGATAGTTAAGGAATATGATAGTGTTAGCAGCCTTTCATGCTGATGTACCATGTTTTAAAACAGGTCCTTACACTTGGACTGATCGGCAGTGTCAATGTGCAGGACATTATGAAGTAAATAATAAAACTGATCCAGCAAAAACAGTCAAAAGAGAGGTGAAGAGGAAGATGACATAACCTGGAACTTGAGAGCATTGTAATTGGTGAGTGTTATTTTATGTGTAATTTCTCATAAAATCACATTAAACTTAGAAATAGGTTGTAGTGTGCATGTTCAGGATTTGTGAATGATTGTGTTGTTAACTATAGAACGAATTTCGTTTTTTAATGTACAGAAAGAAAAGCAAATCTATGTTTAATTGTCCAAGTTTCTTTTTTTTTTTTTAGAAGTCACTAGAGTGAGGTTTCCTTATTAAATGCAGATGGAGTTTTTGTGCTTTTTGTGAGAAACAGGCAAGAGGTCAGAACCTGATGAAGGCTTGTGGTGTTTTTCCACTTTAAAGTTACTTCAGATAAAACATCTAACAAAGAATGCATGACTGCACTGTTGCTGTCAGTGACAGTGAAAGACCCCTTAGCCCCTTCAGCCTTCTACTCAGTTATTGTTTCCATTTATCTAAAGCTTTCATGTTCCCCTGTAGCTTGCCTTTGTGTCCTTGGTTTTGTGATAGAGGAGTTGTTTTGGATGTGTTGCTTTGGAAACTGCTGTAAATAATATAGCAATTTGGTTTGTAGCCTCTGCTTTATTTGATCATGAATGAGAAATGAGAACAGGCTGTTTTAAGTGGTCAACACACCCAGATACCCAGATGTAAAGTTCACTTTTTTTTTTGATGTGTAAACAAAAATAATTCGCAGTTTCTTGACGTCAAATATAGGCAGAGTGAAAGTACATTATGACAAAACATAACAAAAGTGGTAAAGTACAATAGAATGTCACACAGCTTTGTGTTAAATGTAGAGGACAGAAAATAATATCAGCCTACCTAATTGGGGTCACATCTGACTTAAAGTAGATTGGAGTAAGAACCAACTGCCACTGTTTTCCAAAAACTGACTGCCGTAAATGTTTCTATAAATTATGTTGTAATTTATTTTCCAATAGTAATATCAGAAAAGAAAAGGTTCTTTGCATAGGTTATTTCATTCCAGATCTATTTCTTGCCTTTCAGTTTCACAAGGTAATCATGGCACCCCAGTCGCTGTACCTCCTGTATTCGCCAGGTCTCAGTTCATAGATCATCATTTTGTAGGATCCCTGGTGCTACGGGTTGAAAACACATTTAATTAAACATCACAGGACGCTGTAATGCTGAAAGACATGTGTAGACCAAGCATACTGTAAGCTCTGCATTTGTAAGTAAAAGGGGAGGGCTCACTTGGGGTATAATTCGACAGGATCTGACACAATCATTGAAACCCATCCAACATTGGTAGTCAGCATATTCGCCTTGGTGCAGAAAGTACTGGTAACCCATAAAGTGTGGCTGCTCATATACCATTCAGTTTCCACTTTCAACCCGAACAGAGTTACAGCGACTGAAAGAAGAGTGCAGGTCAGCACAGTCGCTAGTGCACTCATAGGAGCAGCCCTGGAAGTTCTTGTCTTCATAGAAGATGATCTGTAGCAGTTTTTGTTTGTTTTATTTCTTATTGTATGTTCACACACAAATAGCAACCCTCCCCTTTCAGAAGTTGTGCAGATGACATTGTTTATTAAATGTACAAATATTCAATGAGACAAAGATTAGACAAAGCCTCACCTTTCCCAGTGTGTTTAATCAGTGTTGTCCTACACTGAGAGATGACTACTGGGATCCTTTTATATACTTTTGGAAAAGTGACATTGTCAGTGACATCAATTAACTAACAGATGTCAGTTTTTTGCTTTATTGAAAGAGTGGTCAGCTGCTGAACAACAATAGGAATTTGTATAATTTGGCGGCAGACCAAATTATTATTTTGCTGTCTTGTGGATGATAACAGTGCTGCTTATTAACCCATTGTTTTCTTTACGCTCTTCAAGGGCAGACTGCTTGCCTTATGTCATTGACATCTCCGGAGTTGTGCATGTTTTAGGTGACTTTAGATGATGTAACTGACATATTGATGCTAAAAACCAAATGGAGTTATGATTTGTTTGATTGAAATATCAAATAGAGTACAATACTAGAACCAAGGATTTGTAATGTGCCTCATGCTTATAAATGTCATGCGACCCATTCCTCTGATGTGTCGAGGCATGAACTACACAAGACCTCTGAACGTGTCTGCGGTGTCTGGCACCAAGACATTAACAGCAGATCCATCCTGCAAGGTAAACAATGCACCTGGTTATCCACCTGATCTAAAAGAATATGTGATTTATCAGACCAGACAACCTTTTTCCATTGCTCCATGGTCCAGTTTTGCTACTCATGTTGCCATTGTAGACACTTTCGACAGTAGACAGGTTTTTTAATGGGCTCTCTGACTGGTCTGCTGCTATGCAACTTCATAAGCAACAAACTGTTCTGACACCTTTTTGTCATGGCCTGCATGTATCGAGTTTTTCAGCAGTTGGAGCTACAGTACACTGTAAAAAATTGCTGTAGTTTCTACAGTAAAATTTTACAGAATATTACTGTTTAAACATTTTACAAGATGTAGCTGTAATTCACAATGCATTATGGGTCAAATAAGGTTTTACTGTTGTTAACAGTATATTTCCATGACAACTGTAATTATTTTGGAAGAAGCAGGTGTTGTCACTATAGCTCCTGGTTTTTACACTAACTTACTGTAGTGTGGCATTATGGAATTGCCTGCGCTTCATTCAAATCTGAAATCCAGCTGACTGGAGCAGCTCGAGAACAATTGAAGATTAGAGGCTTTATTCATAATTCCTGATAAATTCACTTAAGAAATATATAATTTTACATTTAAGTTAATGTATAAGCGATATCATGTTACAATAGCCTGCTTTCACGACATTTAGACAAGCGGACTTGGTATGTGCAGTAAGCTGAGAATTGCTATCATAGCATAGTTAGGCGAAATGTTGCATTTTTCTAATTTTGGCAGTTTAATTTTCTTATTGAGAGCATTTAAAGTAGTGTTTACCCAACTTTTAACGTAATTCCCAGTGCGAACAAAAAAAATAACTGACAAACAGCAAAATATGTGAAATTTAATTTGTTCATACGTGTTCAACTGTCCCATATTGACGTGATAACTTAACGTTACTATAATTAGAAACTGTTACATGTAAACTATTGCCACTGTAGTTGTACAACATTAAAGCTTGTCCGGGACAATTTTTTAGTGAAAGACATATTTACATGCCCGATTGGACAAGTTAGCCTGATTAAAACTTGGTTAAGAAGAAAAAAAAATAAACTAGGGAAGCATCGAAACGCGAGACGGATTCTGATTGTATTACATTCTACATCAAAATAAAAAACCTTAACGGCACACATAAAATCACAAGAAACACGAGGTAAATATTCAAACTGTTTAGTTTATTTATTACATGATATTGTTAAGCAGCACAAGCGTGTCAAGGTCTTGGGTAGAGGATGGAGCGAGGACTCAGTATTGCAGAAAAAGGGTTTTTAATTGGTAATAAAAAAAATAAACAAACAGAAACACAAACCACCCCGTGGGGGAAAAACAGGCTGGCAAGGCAAGGCAGGATCTGGACACATCCAGGGATTGACGATGACGAACTGACCCACGACTGCAAACACAAGGAGAATAAATGGAGAGCAAATGAGGAGGGTAATGAGGGATCACATGTGGGACAAATTAACTAATAATCAGGTAACAAGATGGGAGGGGTCAAGACAATTGACATGAGCACATGGCACACCGAATCAAAGACAAAAAGCCATGTGCTCACAAAACCATGTGCTAGAAGAGACACGAACACGCAGCTAATGAGAAAACTCATAAGCCGCGTGTTCACACAAGACAACAAGAAAAGCACGCGGCTGAACACAAACCGCGTGCTTCACAAAACACCACCAACAGACCAGGGAGGCTCCGGCCTAACAAGAACCCCAGGGGCCGGCAGGGCAAGGTGCTTGGGCGGGGCCGGCAGGGCAAGGGGCCTGGGCGGGGCCGGCAGGGCAAGGGGCCTGGGAGGGTCTGGGACGGCCTCCAGGCCAGCAGCAGCGGGCTCCTGGATGGCCTCCAGGCCATGTGGGATGGAGGAAGCCCTTCTCCTCCTCCTCCGAGAGCAGGGCACCGCCACGGCGGACCCGTTCCTCCTCCTCCGTTGGCAGGTCATAGGAGGACTGGGTACTAGGGGGTTTGTGAGGAGAATGGGAGGAGGGCCAAGAGGAGAAAGGCCACCCTCCTCTCCACGGTGGTAGACATACCCCACAAACTGCCAGAAGGACAGTATCCCCAGCATTCCCATCTCCCAGGCATGGACGGGCTCATTAAAGCTGGTGTTAAAGATGTCCTTGAGCTCTGCGTCACTGAGCGAGTGTCAGGGCTCTGTCACAAAACTATGAATTACCCTAGACCGAAGTGACAGAACCCTGACACTGCGAGCTGTTTTGCTGATTATCACGATTGCAAATGTTATATATTCAATACACAAATAATTCATATTAAGTTACTTATTTTTAGACACAATATTGACTGTTGTTCTATTTCACCAAAGAAAATCGTTCCAAAAAAAGATCAAAGCAAAACTCATTGGTGTGTTTACTGAATGATTCAGCATTTTGAACGGATCGGTATAATGAATGACTCAATTGACTCACTCGTTAAGTTATTTGCTGACACCTAATGGCGGTTTAGTTTCACGTTTAAAAAGTATCATAGCATTTTTCCAACATTTCTTATTTGTAATTTCAAAAATTTATGTAAAACATTAATGTCACAACACAGTTGTAATTTTGCATTTTAAATGATTTAATTTGATTGGTGGTACAGTTCTACAGTGTATTAATATAATTTAATTTATTAATCAAATGTAAGAGTTTGTTTATTTTAAAATATATGCCTTTTTGGGTGTTCATTTTGGTCTCATTTATGTAATGCATTTAAAAACATTTTTCATTATTTCTTCTAGGTGCAAAAAATAGCAGCTGATGTGGAGAAATGTTTGATGCTTCAAGACTCTGAAGCTGATTATATTAGGTAATGTATTCTTATTAATTCTGTTGTAAATCATTTGATAAACTTGTATTTTAGATTACATTTTAAATTGAAATACTGTATTGTAGTTTACATTATGGCTTATATTTATTCATTTTAGGTGCACCCAGTGGCTTTTCGAGGGTCAGATGGTTGTGAATTCATACCTCAACTTTGTGGCTGGATTTGCAGTTTTATTACAACTTCAGTCTGGCGTCCCGGGAGCAGGCATCTTTTGCACATTTGAATTTTTTCAAAGGTAACATGTTTTACTTGAGTAATTTCATTCGTGAAAAAGGTTACTTATTTAGGTTAATACTTATTGTATTGTATAAGTGGCATTTTTACATTCATTTTATGGAGCTAGTTTCATTCAATACTGAACTTTATTTTAAAGCTTCTGCTTGTTTTTATGTGCAGATGTTTTGTTGGAATCACAACACTCACTGGATACAAGACGAATACATAGAAGCAAAACAAGTGGAAAGGTCTCAGAGAAGAGGGACATCCCTCATGTGTGTGCTCATCTCAGAAAGTTGATGGACTTTCAGTATGTATTTATTAAATTGTCTTTTGCAGGAATATTCTAAATGTAATAGAACATAAGCTTAAACAACAGAATTTGTGGTATAATGTTGATTCCAGCATTTTATTTTAATCCCTTTTTAACCAAAATTATACGAAATCTGTTGATTGACCTTCATTTTTATAGAAAGTTAATGTTCTACTCAGAATATGGCTTATTTTTTGTGATATAACAAGTATTTGTAGTTATTTTGTGATGCTATGTTATTTTTATGATAAGATTTTAAGATTTGCAACATCTTTGACTTGGTTTTTATTCATTTGTAAAAGTATTAAGATAGTTCTCATGATAATGCATTTAAATCCGTATTTTACAGTTTACAATTTACTGTTAAAATTATTCTTTGCAGCATTTTCATTGTTAAATTATTAAAACATTATCTTGGATTTAGGGGTATTTACAGGATTTTATTGGCAACTTTAGTTGCCAGGTAAATACTGTACTTCAGTGAAATTATAAAAAAACTGCTGTAAAATATATTTACAGGATTTTATTGGCAACTTTTGTTGCCAGGTAAATACTGTACTTTAGTGAGATTACAAATTATTGCTGTAAAATAAACTACAAGTTTAATTCAATGTTACTGTAAAAATACTACAAATTACTGTATTTCACATACAGCAATTAACTGTCATTTACTTTGTAATATTATACTGTAATCCATTTTACAGCAATTAACATAATTAAAAAAAAAATTTATTGGCAACTTTTTTGCCAGTAACATCCTGTAAATTCTACGGTACATTTTTTACAGTGTAGCTATTCTGTCTGATCAGACCAGACAGGCTAGCCTTCACTTCCCATGCATTAGTGAGCCCTGGGTGCCCATGACCCATGTTCACTGGTTGTCCTTCCTTGCACCACTTTGGGTCGGTACTAATTTATGCATACAAGGCAAGGCAAGTTTATTTATATAGCACATTTCGTACACAATGGTAATTCAAAGTGCTTTACATAAAAGAAAGTAAAATAATCATAAAAAATCACAAAAATAAAACAAGGAATTTAAAAACTTTGAAAATTATTTAAAGTGAATGCAATACATAAAATACAGTGCAATCAGTTCGGATAATCAGCTCATTCAAT